ACTCCCAGGGGAACTACTTCGAGGGTGATGGATGAATTTAATGCCTGAGATAAGTGTACGGGTTTTTATACGCGCAGTCTTGAAACTTTCCGATCGCACCTCGTATTCGTCACGTACAGATCGGCTGAAGTCCATTCAGCCTCAAATTCAATTCGTGAAAAGGCGACGAAGTGTGGAACAGGCTGCTCACTTCCATCTAGCAGCGAGTTGAAAAATGTGTGGAGCATTACCTCCACACTCTCTACACAATTTCTTGGAGCCGAGTTCAGGCATGGGAAAACCTCCCATGTTCACACACCCAAGGCAGATGCATCGATTCCCTCCTTGTGTACATTCTGTCGTGATGGTGGACGAAAGGATGATTTTTCTCGTTTTCAGAGAGATTATTGTTTGGAGTCCCGCCACGGCGCCAGAAATATTTCGGTAAAAATGTTCTTTTTGAGTCGCGCGAATGATCTGCGTTGAGTTGGAGTGTGTAACAGGAAACACTAAGTATGATTAAGATGTGTGTCAAAACATGGTGACGCATGTCGACAGATGTGGTCTGGACCAGCTGTTAAAATGCCTAATGCTTATTTTTCAAATACCTGTCACTCCACGAACTTTCAAGGGCCTGCGATAGCCTGCTTATTCTTACGTCAGCGTTGTTACTACAAGTTCGTCGGCTATCTCATTGATGTTGTTGATGTTGAAAGAGAGTTACAGGTACCAAGAAGTTAATGTCCTCTGTTCTCTGCTTTTCATATCTTGTTTAAAGAAAATATGTTAATTAGTGTCTATAATTAATTCCTACATGTTTGTAGTTGAGTCAGGGGACAGGCGGATAATATCCTGAGAAAGAACTCTGATGTTGAATTGAATTAGTTTGACTCGCTTTGTCTGAAGTTTCTTCTAACAGTGAAAGCAAATTAATTATTTTTAAACGCGAATGAGTTGTATGTTTGTGTGTGCGTGTTGGTGGGAAGGTGTTTTAAAGGCTGGTCAGTGTCAAAGGATGTTTGTGAATGTGTGAAATCTAATTTCTAAATTCTTTACCGTGGCAGAAGTCTGTTATACCTGCGAGGCTGTAAATGGGCTCGGCCGCGACATTTAGGATGAAAGTTAAAATTGGCAATACTTAAAAGAAAAAACGCACTATGGTGTAAACTGCGAATTGAAGTGGTACGATATGCCAGACTGTCATGAGGCATGTGATATCAACTCGAAAGTTATCATAAAATACTTATCACGAAAGAAACAGTTTCTTCATTTAAGACATCTCTTCTAGGTTCACAGCTGAAAACGGCAACTGTAAAAGCAAACTTCTAGAGCCATAGGCCTGCTTACTTATTTTTGTTACCATGGAGACAGCGACTTCGCGAGGGACCGACAGGATGGAAGCTCTTTTAGAGGAACGGGCTCAGCAACTATTCCTGCTCAGTGACCGAGAGAGGAAAGGGTTCATCGTGAAAAGAGACATGCAGGTAGAGTTGCCACATTGTCAAAAATTACCTTGCAGTCCATGTACCTGGAAAGTCCTCCTCATGTCATGCCCACGTGGTGTCGCAGCTATGAAGGAGTCTCTGTCAGATACTCGTTCGCCCGAGACTCGGGATGACTTTGACGCACCTTTAGTGACCTCGGTAGCAGAACCCGAAGTGGTCACAGTCCTAAGCCGGTTCCATTAACCCCCCCTCCCAAAACCAGTCGCCCTAAGACCCATCTTAATACCATCCTCCCATCTACTCCCAAATCTGCAAAGTGGTATATTCCATCTGGAGTTTCTAACTTCATGTTTTATGGATCTCCACTCCATGCGTTAAGACCCATCTTAATACCATCCTCCCATCTACTCCCAAATCTGCAAAGTGGTATATTCCATCTGGAGTTTCTAACTTCATGTTTTATTGATCTCCAATCCATGCGTACTGCATGTCGAGCCAATCTTATCCTCTTCGATTTTATCTTCCTAATACTATTTGCTTAAGAGTGAAAATTACGAGAAGTTCTGCAATCTCCTTAAAGTTTGAGCATTTTGTATGTCACCTTGTTGACAAATAAACTCAGTGTTTTTTTCTCTGAGACACCAAATTTCATGACCGTACAACAGCATTTAAAACCATAGTGAAAATTTCTGTTTTCTGGGTTGAATTCATCGCCCTGATGACGGAGGCAGTATGACCTCCGAAACGTTGGTAAACATCGACCAGACTACACAGCGCAACAACCCAGAAGACAGAAACCATAGTGTTGTATTCCTTATTATTTTTATTTTTTAGATAGAATGCGGGGAAATAAATTATTTTGAACTGAAATGAGCAATAATTTCCCCAAATTTATGCTTATCTTATTTTCTAGACGCGCATTGAAAAAGTAACTTCATATCTTATCTGTTAAATTTCTGTCTCTTCAACAAAAATATATAAACAATACTATCAGTTTAGGTGTGCAAATATGAAGTGCTCCTTTGTACATGTTGTAAAACCTTTATAATTCTCTTCTCAACCATTTGTATTCTATAGTAACTGCATTAAAATATGGTTCAGTTTTGTATTTCATGGTTAAAATAAACCGAAGAATTTGAATTTCGTGATACTTAAACATATTTCAGTACTAAATAAGCGAAAAGGCGTACAAGAGTTGCCTCCAAAAATTATACATTGCTTTAAACTACACGCATGCCTGTTGATTTTAAGAATAAACTTACAAAACGCGTCATAATAACTGGGAAGTACGCATTTATGTCACTAAAGTGACAAACTTTTGCAAGAGTTATGTGACACGCGTTACGTATTTGCTGTCTTGTGTCGCTGCTGTATAACTAGTCGGTGTCTTTGATGTAGTCTGAATACATCGTCATTTTTCCTTGTGGTATGGGAGGCAAACAGTATAATAACACTTTCTAGTTGGATTTGAAACAGGGACCAAAGTACACAGAAAATAAAACCGCGCTGTTAAAGTGTTTTGAGAATTTAAGTTACGGTTCCATACATTCTAGACCAGTGGTATTCAACCTTTTTTGTTCGCGTACCCCCAGATATAATTTCTCTTCAACTTTGTACCCCCAAAGTTGTTGGTGTATAATTCAAGTTATACATAGTATATAATCTACATCTAAAATAAATTAAATAAATTACATTACTG